GATACAGTCCTCAGCACTCAGGCTACAGCTTAGCTTCTCCAGACCATCCATCTCTGCACATTGCATATTGTAGAAGATCTTCCACAGCATGGAGCTGGATAATGTGCCATAAGGCATCTCAGACATGAACAGCCATATGCCCAGTCTGTGAATCAATAAAGGTTTAATTAAATAGACACAGCTTCAGAAAGAGATGTGTATAGTAAAGCAAATCTTTTATTGACAGCAAACATAGGGAGGAGACAGAAAAAAATATGTCGAGAGATGGGGGAATGGGATCAGGGCACAATGTAGGCCAGATGTGAACCTACTTTCTCCCTTGTAGGTCCCAAAGCTTAATGTCTGGAGCATGTTTACTAATGGCACTTTTCCACTGCGTGGTACGACTCGGCACGGCTCGGTTTGCGTTTCCACTGAAGTTTAGTATCGCTTTAGAGTGGGCGGGATTATTGACATGTCGTTATAGTTGCGCCGCCTCTACTGCCGCGACTCCTAAAAAACTGTTTCATTCCAGCTTGCTCACCTGATGCCCGCCCTCAGTGCTCTCTAAATACCAACAGCTTGCGTGCTCAACACAGCCCATTACAATGTGCCATAATTCCAGCCAATCAGAGACTAGGCTGCAAAATTCTGATTGGCTGCCTTGACAACCAATCACAACATTCCTTGCATTACCTCGACAGCAGAAGAGGAAAAATACAGCGCATGCATAATTATTATGCAAGTTCATATTCTGATCATATTTTTTTCCAAGCACATTTTACCAATTCCAAACGACATCAATCTTAATAACTACTATTAATCTTGTATTTAATCATTTAGAATTTATATAAAATTATTCATGAAGGGTGGAAGTGAAAAATGTCTTATATTCAGGTGTGCATAATTATTAAGCAGATTTTCTTTTACAGATAAAATGAGCCAAACAAGAGATTTAACTCAGACTGGAAGTCAAAAATTATTAAATGCTCATGATATATACAGTGGGTACGGAAAGTATTCAGACCCCTTTAAATTTTTCACTCTTTGTTATATTGCAGCCATTTGCTAAAATCATTTAAGTTAATTTTTTTTCCTCATTAATGTACGCACAGCACCCCATATTGACAGAAAAACACAGAATCGTTGACATTTTTGCAGATTTATTAAAAAAGAAAAACTGAAATATCACATGGTCCTAAGTATTCAGACCCTTTGCTCAGTATTTAGTAGAAGCACCCTTTTGATCTAATACAGCCATGAGTCTTTTTGGGAAAGAGGCAACAAGTTTTTCACACCTGGATTTGGGGATCCGCTGCCATTCCTCCTTACAGATCCTCTCCA